TAACATAAGAGTCTTGTAGTTATAACAGACTGTTTTAAGTTGATGACAACTTAACTCTGGTCATAAAAATACTCTAGCAATGCTGGAGAGGATACGGGGAAAAGGGAACACTATTATACTGTTGGTGGGAGTGTTAGCTAGTACAGCCTCTGTGGAAAACAGTGTGGCGATTCCTAAAAGATCTAAAAATTGACCTTCCATACTACCCAGCAATCCTACTTCTGGAAATATATCTGGAGGAACTCAAATCATTCTATGAAAAAGATACCTGCACACGCATGATTACTGTAGCATTATTCACAATAGCAAAAACATGGAGCCAACCGTGCTGCCCATTGAAAGGGGACTGGATTTTTTTTTTAAATGTGGTACATATACACAATGGAATATTATGTAGCCATAAAGAAGGACAAAATTATGAACTTCACAGCAATTTGGATGAATTTAGAGTCTGTAATACTCAGTGATCTATCACAGAAACAAAAAACTGGGTATCGCATGTTCTCACTCATAAGTGGACCCTGAACAATTATTATAATAGACTCCAACTCCAAAAAAAAAAAAATACTCTAAGAAAGGGATTGGCAGTAGTGGGAAACTACCGTGGAGGGAGCAGGGGGACACATTTCATCAATAAGGGTGTCTGATCTCACAACAGGTGACATGGGGACCAAAGTAAAGTCCAAACTTTACCTCTACAATGACAATTTGTATACCTAACCTTGAATTGTATCCCACATCTTTCAAATAAAAATTTTTTAAAAATATTATAGACTTTTACCTTCCCTCTAGCAATTTATATTTTTGCTGTCTCTATCTACACCTTTATATATTATATGTTCCTTAAACATTGCAGCTTTAACTGTAATTACAGTTGTAGCTACAGTTATTTTTACTACAAAAATGTATCTGTAGTTATTATTATTATTTTTAGCATCTGTTGTTTTATGAATGATGGTCATTCTTACTGGGATTAGATGGTATCTCAATGTGGTTTTGATTTGCATGTCTCTGATAACTGTAGTTGTTGTTATTATTATTATTATTATTATTATTATTATTGAGAAAGCAGGATTTATTGAGAGGACAGAAAAGCTCCTACAGTGGGAGGGGACCCAAGGGGGTTGTCCCAACTGTAGTTATTTTTGACCATTTTATCTTTAAACTTCATGCTAGAGCTTTGAAAGTTTTGCATAGCACCATTATAGTACAGAAGTATTCTCAGTTTAATTATAAATTTACTTAAAAGGACATAACATGGAATCAAGCTTCCCAGTGAGCAGCCATTTTAACATTCCTTAGTTTTGTGATGTTTCTTTAGCAGGTCACTTTAATTTACCCTCTAATTACTAGACAAGGACAGAACTGGTTTCCCAGAGGTAACTATCGATAATTGTTTTACAAGCCCCTCCCCAGCTTGTTTGTACTAATCAGCTTTTCTATTTCAAGTATTTGCCTCTACCCATAAGACTTGAGTTAACCTAATCACCCACATCTGGTGTAACTAACACCTCTTCGAATTTTAGCACCTCTTCAAAGCTTATTTAAGCTTTTTTAGGGAAAGGCTTTTCCTGCAGATGAGTCCTAGGGTTATCAGTTTGGGAGGATGTATTGGCTTTGGTTCTGGGTAAATACGGTAGTGTAGTCTTCATGTCGTTTCTTCAGCTATAATCCACATCAGCAACATCTTCGGGTGCCTTAGTGGCCTAGGCTGCAGGAATTTGTGCTGGCAGTGACATAGCTTTTGAGAAGGCTGCTACCAAGCTGGTTCTCAGGCTGAGGGGATGCATGCACAGCAAATCCACTGGCTCGGGGGTGATCTTGCCTGGGGAAGGACCACTTGACTTGTTCTCACCACTGGACTTGTTCTCAGACCAAGGGCATGCTTGTATGGCGAGTCTGCTGGCTAAGCTCAGCTGTGTAGGACTGCTAGTTTCTTGGAAAGGCAGGGCACCATGTGAGTTTGAGCACTGGGATCACAGTAATTTCACAGGGTCTGTACTCTGAGTAACTGGGGGTATGGAGCTGCAGTCACCTGTATGAAGAGGGTGGGATGATGCCAGAGCCTCGGGGATGCAGAGATGCAATGCTTACTGGCCCCAAGAACAGGATGCACTGTGGCAGTGGCTATGGTTTCAAGATGGTGCCACACGGTAGCAGCTTGAGTCACAGGGGGCGAGTGGAAGTACACAAAGCAGGCTTCTGCTCTGGAACAATGTAGCCATGTGAACTCCTGGCAGCACCCCAAACTGGACTCGGGATCTGTGAAGCCTGCAAAATTCTCCTGTAACAAAAACTGTAGTTGTCTGTGGCAATAATGGGGGTTGTTCCTGTTTGCTTTTTCCCCACTAGGAGTTCCTCCTGGCTCCAAGCCAATCCTGGTGAGCAAGACAAGATGGCAGAAGCAGGTTGTTTCCCTCTCCTCTCTGAACTGCCATCCTGGGTTTCTGTGTGCCAAAGGAATTCCACCAATTCCTTGCTGAATTCCAGCGCTCTCCTTCAGACACTCTTCAAAATGTAGCAATTTATGTGCTGTTTTGGCCCTTTTTTGGAGGGTGATGAGTGTCAGGCTCCTCCAGTCTGCAATCTTAGTGACATACTAATGACCTCTGTCTTTATAATACCCTTTAATACTTACAAGAAAAAGTCTCTCTTCATTTCTTCTATTCAGTTTTTTTCTTGGTTAACACTTTCCAACATTTTTGGCATAAGTTTTAGAAACGCGTTGGCAAGTTTCAGGACTTTCAGTAAAAGTTAATTGGTATTATATGAAAATTGTGTATTAACCTAGGAAAAATAATTTTTTTGATATCGAGTGTTTCCATTTAGAAACACCTTAAGAACTTCACTAAAACATGTCTTTTTTAAAAAGTTCCACCTTGAAATGCTGCATTTTTAAAGATGTAAGCAAGTCTTTCAAATGTTTTTGAAATTTGATTATGTTGTCATCCCTCAACATTTTGTTATTTTTATTGCAATTATGAATGCCATTTCCCCCCAATTACATATGATATTTCAGCCATGTAAAAATGCTATTAGTTTGAATACAAAATAGATGTAATGAACAAATGATAGTGATTGTAGTTTTTTTTACATAATTTTCTTAAAATTGCTAAGTAGATATCCATAAATCATTTTTTAAATTCTATATTTATCCTCCTCCTTCCAACACTTACATCTCTTGCCTTTGTATTCTAAATACATTGGCTAAAATTTCCAAAGACAGAAGTGGGGATCAAAATTAACTATGAGGGATAAAACAGGCAACCCCATCTTTCTAGGTATTTATGAATTCCACAAGACTATTCACATGGTCAGTAATATATAGATAATTATCCTTTATTATGGGCATTATTATTTCCTTGAAATTATTTCCTTTAAAATAACTCATGAAAACATATGGGCCATGAGTCTTTTAAACAGATTTCATCTTCTCACCATTTGCCGTTTTATAAGCTTTCACATTTCTAAACCTTTTATATTTGGATGTCCCTATATTTAGAGGATTAGATTTGCTGAAAGTTTATCCATCTTCTTCTCTCCCCATCTCCCTCAATTCTTCTACCCATGACCAACATGGGATTTATCTTTCTATTTTTTCTTTTAATAAACTCATCTTTTTATACTTTTTTGTTGTTGTTTAGTTGCTCTTTTTTATAGAGTTAAAACATTAGTTTATATATTTAAATTATTTCTCCATCTGTTAATAATAATTATATTTAAAGATATAAACTTGTTTAGAGTTCAGCATTGGTCAAATGCCATGAAATAAGATATGAAAAATTCTCACTATCATTATTTTCTAAATATTCTATAACTATATATTGGGTTAATCTCTAACCAAGAAAGCATATAATTAAAAGATGGATTTGTTGTGTTTTAAATCCTTTAGATTGTTTCTTTTTAATTGACAATAATTATATATTCATATATATTCAAGGAATACAATATGATGTTTTGATATATGTTTACATTGTAGAATAATCAAATCAAACCAATTAACAAATCCAATGAGAGTTTTTTTTTCATTGTTTTGGTTTTAGTATAAATTTCTAGATTTACTGCATGTGATTATACTACATAATCTTTACAACTTCTTTTGGACTCAGAGTTTTTCCATAGATGTTCACAAGAGTGATCTATGTGTTAAATACTTTACTCTTATTATATGCTCAAACCATCTAGAATATTTGCATAGTAAATCTCTCAAAGCCAGAATATGTTAAAAAAATCTCCCACTACAATCAAAACGATTGTACTGTCTTATTGTATTATACTTTTATTTCAGAGACTTTTAGCATGACCTATTTTCAGGCACTGTTATTTGACACATAAAATTTTCTCTTTTGGGAGGTGATATAATTTTTATTAGTATAAAATGATCCAATTTGTCGTTTAATTTTTTGGCCTTGAAAGATGTCAGATTGAAAGTTTATTACCACCATCTGATTTTTTGCATCAAAAATTTTTCAGATATGTGTCTTTTGAGAAAAGCAGGTAATTGGATTTTAATATTTGATTCCATCTGAACATTTTTATTTTAATGGGGACTTAGTTTAATTTGCTTTTTTACCCCAAAGTTACTCAACATGTTTATTTTACTAGTAGTTATTTTTAGATTTTAAACAATAATTTGAACTCCCTTTTCTCTACTAAGAACACAAACTGAGTTGATTTTTCAGTCTTTTTCAGGAATTACTCTTACATTTTCATTGCCTTTGCATAAATGGATTTGTAATAATCATTTAGACTCAAAGTGCTCACCACCAGACTTCAGATACCACAACTTTCCTAGGCTTCAGTTCTCTCTCTTGCTCTTTTTAAATTTGTTGTTCTGATGCATCCCCTGATTAGCTCAGGTATATCCAAAGTTGGAAACTGGGTATGTACAGGATTTATCTTCATCCTTGAAATTCAAAATATTCACTAGAATATTATTATATGTAGACATAATAAGCTCTGCCCTTGATGATTTCAATGGCTTCAATAGCTTTACTCACCAAGCTGTACTTCAATTGAATTGTTTTTTGGATAAATGATTTTAGGGATATTTCCTCCATATCCAGTTATTTCTGCTAAAAAATCACACCCACAGAAAATTACATTAGAATCACATATGATACATTCCCAAGTACTTTAAAGCAATACCGTGAGGCACAGCAGAGCAAACCATCAGTAAACATTGCTCAAGAAAAAAACAAAGCCCACAGCGTGACAAAATATCATAAATACATATTTTTCAACCAGAGACCACTTAAATGCTAAAACAAAACTAGAAGCTGAGCAGTCAAGAGAGTTCACTTCAGTCATTATATTTTGATATAAACTATATTCGCTTATAATATAAACTAATGAGACTACATCATACAATCTCATTACCTAATGATCTAAAAGCACTTTTCAAGCAGTGAAAAGCAAGGCTCTATAAGCAAGAGGCTGAACTAAGTTCTAGCTTGAGAGAAATAATAACCCTCTTGTTTTATCTTCAATTCCGCTCCGCCCCCAACTCTGCACTTCCATATTCTTTTACATCCTCTCCTCTTCTGTCGTTCCTCCAGCTCTCTCATACCACCACCTCATAGTCTTTCTCCACCTCTTCCTTTCACCATTTGTCTACCAAAATTTAACAGTCATCTACATAGTCTCATATTCTTCCTATATATTTGGAATAGAATATGGAAAAAGTGCAAAAATACATGTCTTTTATGATGGCAATAATTACTACACTTTCTACAGACTATTGAAATCTAGGATGTCGCAAGCAAAAGTTATCCCCAACCTGTTAATGTACCATTAGCCACTAGAACATAGACATGTAAAATCTGGAAGTTATTCTAGGCAACAGCTTGTCTCTCACCTTCTTCAACTTTCCAGTCACCAAATCCAGCTATTTTTGCCTCCTCACATTTCTCAAGCTGTGCCTTTTTCTCTACTCATCAGACCTCCATTTTTTACTCTCTACTCTTTTCCTAAGCAATCTCATTCATACCCACCTATTCAATTATCGTCTAAAAGACAATGGCCTTGAAAATTGTACCTCCAGCCCTTCTTCTGAGCTCTAGAACTATACTGGCCATAGCCTACTCTGCACCTCCATTTGGGCAGGTACCTCATATTCAACCTACCAATGATCAAACTCATGATTTCACTTCTGACTCTGGTTTTCTTCTAGAACTATCTTCTTTCATTGACTAGCATGATCATCCAGTCAATTACATGCCAAAAGGCCTGGCTAGCTTCCTTCACCTTACCATATTCCTCCCCATATTCAATCTAACACTACAACCTGTGGGTTTTATTTCCTAAGATGCCTTGAACCCATCCACACATCCACATCTGTCCATCATCAGTGCGGCAATGTTACCTATGCCTACATGATGTCTCACCTGCACTTCTGCACCTGCCTCTTAACCACCACTCCTATCCCTGTGTGGGCCATTCTATGCACAGCAGCCAGTCTACTGTTTCAGAAATGAACAACATGCCATGCTGTTCTGCTGTCAACCCCTCTGATTGCTTGCCATTGTCCTTAGGATAAAATCCACACTACTCAAACTGGATTGCAGGTTCCTACCTGATCTTGGCCCTTGACTTCTCAGACCTCAACATCTACCATGAGCTCCCTCACTCAGCATCATTCCAGCCCCATCTGCCTGCTTTCTACCCTGCAGACAAGGTCCCACTTGGTCTAGGGCCTTCACATCTGCTATTCCTTCAGTCTGAAAAAACCTGGCCCAATCCATCACTCAGTGCTCTTGGTCCATCTGGATCACTGCCTTCTGAACAGGCCCTGCCTATCTGATCACATATTTCCCTTTCTTTCATTGCTTTCATCTCCCCAGGGATTACACATCTCATTAGTAGATCACCTGATTATCTCTGCTTCCCCCTCTTTCTCAGACTTCAAGCTTCATCAGATCAGTGGTCATGGCTGTTCTCCTTACCGTCACCTTATCTCTGCTGAGCACAGGACATGGCCTCCTTAGGCATGCAGCAAAGAGTTACGACATGACTGCCTGAAGAAGAAATCCCCCGCTGCCTTCTTCCAAGTTCAGACTCTCAGCACTCAATCTAATATGGCAGCAGCCTCCAAAGTGGTCTCCAGGCCTCAATACCTGAAGACCTTGGAGAGTAAACGTTGGCTTCAACCCATCTCAAGAATGATCTCTCCCATCACAGATGCAGTCTCATAACTCTAGTCTTGCACCGATCCAAGGGCCCTTCAATGACCACATGGTAAAGTCTACCTGTCAATGGCGCCCTTGACCTTACCCCTGTTTAACTCCATGCCTCAGCTCCTACCACGCCTCACCTCATACTTAGATACACTTGAATGAAAGTGGTTTTAGCAGCCGGGCTCGGTGGCTCAACCTGTAATCCCGCGCCTTTGGGAGGCTGAGGCGAGTGGATTGCCTGAGCCCGCGGGTTCGAGACCCGCCTGGGCAGCGAGACCTCATCTCTACAATAAATCAAAAAATCAGCCGGGCATGGTAGTGTGTGCCTATAATTCTGGCTACTGGGAAGGCTGAGGCGGAAGGATCGCCGGAGCCCAGCAGGTCAAGGCTGCAGTGGCTGGGAGCGGTCACTGCACTCCAGTCTGGGCAGCAGAGTGAGACTCCAACTCAAAAAGTAATAATAATAATACAAATCTATGCAATTCTTAAAGGGGCTAGCAAGGAAAATTGAAATTTAAGTCCACCCAAAAGCATTGAAATCAAACAGGCAATTACAGCAAAGAACACTGGAGGGCTTTCTAGAAGAACAGCTGGAATGCAGGGAGTCACTGGACTCTGCAGAATAAAGTGACCCATCCTACACAGACTGCAGGGGGTCACCCATGTTGAACAGAACCTCCGAAGGAGCCTTCAAGAAATACCTCGGTCTCCCCTAGTGCTTTGAAGTCTGGTGAAAATGAGTAACAAACATGAATGTCTAAGTCCAAGGAATGCCCACCCTTTGGTTCTTGTCATCTACAAGAGAAAATACAGAAAACAACCCTCTACTGTTCAAAGAACAACAGGCGTCACACCAGATAGTCCCTGCCCAGTGTGTTTAGAGGGACCGGTGCTGGCCTGGGCACTGAAGGTCCCAGCTCTGGTCCTGTTTCTGACACTAACCAGCTTTGTGAACTTTGATAAGTTGCTATTCTCCCGGGCCTCTGTTAAATTAATGGCTTAAGCTAAATCCTGTTGAGGGTCTCTTGTACCTCTAAGTCTGCTTTCAAATCTCCAGGGCATATGTTCAAGAGAGCGGTCTGCTCTGGGTTGAGATTGTAACCCCATGAGAAACAAGGTATGCTGGAACCATGTCCAGAAATCCTGAACTCTGCTGAGATCAAAGCAGGAGATGCTACAACTGAAAGAGCCCACCGAAATACCTACAACAACAAAGACTGAGGAAAATAAGAGTACACTTATCATATCTACTTTCTGAATACCTGTGCTTTGTAGCCACTCCATATACATGATCTCATTCAATTTTCACAAATAAACCAAGAGTTTTGAGGGTTCTGCTTTTTCATGCGAGAAAACTAATCTGTTCACATCCTTCCGCTTCATTCTTTCTATCCTCTGACTCTACTAGGGACAGGTTTGAGAGCCTGCGAGCCTTGAGGACAGTCAAGGTCCAGAGTCACTTCTGCCTAAGGCCCAAAGACAGCTCGCACAAAGCCAAGAGGAAGACAGGATGACAGATATGAGCATACTTACTGGTGTTCACAGTAATGCCATTCAAAACCGTGTACTGCTTCCCCGTGTGTGTCAGTCTGGCTCGGCACGCATAGTTCCCTATGTCCTCTGTTGAGACATTGTTCACCGTAAGCATTATTCCCAAAGCAGTAAACCGCTTCCCTTTTATCTCCTTACAGTCCTACAGACAAAAGAAACAAAATTCAATTCTATGAGCATTTGGGGCACCAGTTACATTGCTAGTTAGCATCATACCATGAACTGCGAGGAGACATTAAAACCTGTGCGACCCCTAGACTTTAGGTAATTGACAGTCTAAATGGAAGACAAGTTAGGAAGGAAGGAAGGGGAGGGGAGAAGGAAGGAAGGAAGGCGGGGAGGGAGGAAGGGAAGAAGTGGGGGAGGGAGAGAGGGAAGGATGAATATCATTATTTGCTCAGAGAGAGAGAGAGAGAGAGAGAGAGAGTGTGTATGTCCAGATTTTAAAATCAGTGATACACACATTTCGTCTCATAGGAGTTGAGGGGAGAAAGGCCTGTGCAGATAGGAAGGAAGACTTCATCGAGGAAAGTTGGGCCTAGGCCCTAAAGGATTGTGGCAGGAGGACACGAACAGGCAGGAATGCCCTCCAACCGACAGGGCCCATCTCTCCCAGTAGACTGCCATTAAAGGCCCAAGTCGCTTTACCAAGACTGAAAGCCCAGGGGAATAATCATTGCTTCCACTGTGTTACAGGCCCAATCATACCTTCTCCACTTATCAGGAGTTGGACGTTATAGAAATCCAAAATATCACTTCCACAACATACACACAATTACACACACACACACGGAAACTGTCAATAAATGCTGGCCAGACCTAAAAAGAGCAGATGTCATTTGACCTCCTATTCCCCACCCGCCATTCCTACGCTGCACCAATAAGGAAACATCCTCACCCTACAGCCAGCTTGAAGGCCAGTTAGTCTCAGGAATGCCTTTCTGTCTCTTCATCCTCAGCAACCCCCCATAGGAAAGACCTCATCTGTCCCATCCCAGGTTCACATTCTTGTGCCGATCTGCACTTCTTTGGTCTCTTGGGCCTACTTCTGAACTCTTACTTAAGCCATTTCTCCTTCCTCCAGGACTGCTTGGCTAAGGGAGTCCACTTACTCATTCAAACATTTGAGTTCCTGCTCTTTGCTAACACTGTGAGAGGTCGTGCCTGTCCCCAGGAGGCTCACTATCAAATAGATGACACAAACATGCAAACCCCTCATTAAATAAAGATCGAGCTGCCCAAGTGTTGCACTCTCTCCTCACTTAGCCAGCGACTGTTCGGTCTCTCTTCATTCTCTACCCCAGAACAGCGTGCATGGATCCACCTTGCAGGGTGGAGCTCAAGAAATAATGTCAAAACAAACATTTGTTTATATAAGGTGTGAAATATGACTTCTTAGAAGTCTTATATATTTCCCTATAAACTTCATCCATCAGACTCTTCTTAGAAGTCTTATCTATTTCCCAATGGCTTCACCCATCGGACTCCGATGAGTAACTTCCATTCTATTTGTAAGCAGTTGTACGATTATAAGTTAGCTTCACCCATAGGACTCTGATATCATGATATCTCCATCTCTGGGGCACAGGCAAGCACAAATTTGAGTGGCTTGAGCTTTGGAAACCTCTCCCCCAGACAGCCTTTCCTGAATAGTCCCTGGCTAGGCACAATATCTGGGCTTTTTTTCCTATGCTTGCACTATGGAGCAGTCCCCTTTCTGAGGGACTCAGTATTTCTTTTAATGTACGCACATTGTAATCATAATAAACTTTAGCCTTGATTACTGAAGATAATTTTGTCTCTTTACAATAACTTGCACTGCCTCTATGCTGATCCACTGGAGCATTATTCCAAAGTTTAAGCTCTCAGCACACTTTTATTGAAATTTAGAAATTTTAGGGTGATGTCTCACTAATAAAACATAAAATCAAAAGGCTAGTAATAATAGCAGTCAACATTTGAGTGCTTTTTATATTCCAGGCATCAAGAGGAACACTCCCGACCCAGCATGAACAATGTCTCAGAGACACAAACAAGCCTCGAGCATTCTGGCTAAGACTTAGTGAGTACAGGAGAGTGCCAAAGGTAAAACGGGTGAGGCAGTCAGGGCCCAGTCTTAGAAAGTCATGAGATGAACACCTGATGCTTTTTGAGCCAGCAAGTAACACGGTGAGATTTGCTTTTGAGAATGATCCTTCTGGTTGCCATGTGGGTAAGGATCAAGACAGGCAATCCTAAAGACTAGGAAGCAATTCAGAATGTTATTTCCATAAACTGGAGCTAAATGAAGCCTGAACTAAGGCAGGATGGTGGGGATAGCAAGAAGAAAAAGAAAACAAACGAGTTTAAATGGTTCTAATCCACAAAATTCAGCAATAAATTTGGGATAAGGAAAAGGACAGGAAGTCTATGGTCCCAGCTGGAGCATGCAAAGGTGTTTTCAGGTGGGCAGAGGAATGCAAAGAAAATCCAGAAAGATGATCAGATTTGGGGTAAAATAAAAAACAGCTCTAAACATGGTGGAAGTGGTGAGTAGTGGGGATGGGAGTTTTAAGAAGAATGGGACTGGGCTTGGTGGCTCAGCCTGTAATCCCAGTACTTTGGGAGGCCGAGGCGAGTGCATTGCCTGAGCCCGTGGGTTCGAGACCAATCAGGCAACTTGGCGAGACCTTGTCTCTACAATACATCAAAAATAAACCGGGCTCGGTGGCTTAGCCTGTAATCCCAGCACTTTGGGAGGCTGAGGTGAGAGGATTGCCTGAGCCCATGGGTTCGAGACCCACCTGGGCAACTTGGCAGGACCTCATCTCTACAATAAATCAAAAAATTAGCCAGGCATGGTAGCACATGCCTGTAGTTCCAGCTACTTGGAAGGCTGAGGTGGAAGAATGGAAGAATCACCAGAGCCCAGCAGGTTGACACTGGGGTGGCCATGAGTGTGCCACTGTACCTGGCCTGGGTGGCAGAGAGAGACTCAAATCAAAAAAAGAAGAAGAATGGCTGTTGGCCAGTCTCTAGAGGTTGGGAGACAGGTCACAATGGGAGAGAGTTGGGAACCCTCTGTATATAGATGGCTCTAGAAATAACCTAGTTGAATGTAAGATAAGCAAGAACAAAAGATGGTCATGGACTGGAACCCTGGGGAGTCCATATTCTAAGACCCAAATATAGAGGATGAGAATCCAGTGATGATTACTAAAAGGGGGGAGCAGAAAAAAGTAAGGTTAAGATAAACAGAGACAAAGAATGAGTACGTCTAGAAAAAAAATAAGGAGGGAGCTCTCAGCTGACTGATGAGAGTGTCTGGAAGCATCGAATGCCACAGCCAGAATTTAAAATGAATGCAAGTTTGGCAACTAGAAAGAGAGAAGTAGCCCCAGCAAGTACAGATTCAACACAATGATGGGCAGAAAACCATTGCGTTGAAAAGTGACTTGGGGTTGAAAACAAAACAAATTGGAGACTAGACTGCTTTTCCAAGTGTGGATATTTCACTATCGACAAGAATGGATTTTTTTTTTTTTTTAGAGAAAGCAGGATTTATTGAGAGGACAGGAAAGCTCCCACAGTGGGAGGGCACCGGAGGTGGTTGCCCAAGAATGGATGTTTTACTTCCCAAAATCTTCTCTTCTGTAAGCCCTTCCATTTCAAGGACCACTTTGATTCCTCTCAGGATTCAGTTCTCCCAGACATAGAATGAGCTTTGGCACTAGCCAGAACTCCTGCTTTGAAATCCATAAAATCAAGTATACTACTTTCTGATTATCATTCCCTATTATTCCAGTTCTTTCATTCCTTTATTTTAACTAAATTCCAATATTGAATATACATTTATTTATTAAGTACTTATTACATGCCCACACCAAACTCAATGCTTAGTAGAGAGATTACATCATTTAATCTTTGAAACAATACTGTGAGACCATATCTCTCAGTCTGGACTTAGTTGCAGGAAGCAAAAAATATTTTGGCTATTTTATGCAGAAAAGAATTCAAGACAGGACATTAGGTGCTTGACAAAATCTGTGAAAGTACTCAGGAAGTAGCATCAAGGCCAGTACCACATTGCATAACGAGTCCAACATGAGAGTTGCTGCCTCTAGCACAATTGTGAAAGTGAGAAATCTATGCTGAAATATACCACCTGCAAGTCAAGACCAGCAGTTGCCACTTAGGTTGCAACGCCAGTGTGTCAAGTTATGCCACACCAGGAAGAGCCATCTTATCAAATGAACCAGAAAACTCAACTCCCACAAAGCTAGAGATCAGACACTGGAACCCTGCTACAGATATGTTCATGTCTCCAGGGGCATCCTTTCCAGGAGAAAAAATAGGAAAACACACCATCCTCACCTTTGCCTTTCAGCGAAGTCAGCTGGAGACACTGAACTAGCCAGAACCTCAGCTGTACGTAACTGAAAAACACAGGATAGTTTTGGTTGCTTTTTAAGCTTGATAGCAGCCTCTACTGCATAAAAGGGTTCAACATGTATAGTGGGTGTCTTCCCATCGTATGTATCATTGTTTTCCATCTGAACTTTTTTTTTTTTTTTTTTTTGAGTTGGAGTCTCACTCTGTCGCCCAGACTGGAGTGCAGTGGCTGGGCTCCGGTGATACTTCCGCCTCTGCCTTCCAAGTAGCCAGAATTACAGGCGCACGCTACCACGCCCGGCTGAGTTTTTGATTTATTGTAGAAATGAGGTCTCGCTGCCCAGGCGGGTCTCGAACCCGCGGGCTCAGGCAACCATCTGAACTTTCGATTCATCCAACCCACTTTTCTGTCTTAACTTGAATCAGCCCACGTGACCTCTCTGTTTTCTACGAATGCCATTCTCCTTCAGACATCACTTCCTTTCCTTCCTGCCCTGGACTCTTGTGTCCATCACGTCAATCACTCCTCTTCCAATATCACAGCTCTATAGCTCTCTGTCCTTCCAACATATTCACCCGGAAAAGCCCCTATGCTGCTCGATTCCCTTCAGGACCCTCTCCCACACACCTGCAATCTCATAAACAGGTGTCTTGCTACCACTACAAATTCATGGTCTCCACCTTAGAAATTCTTTGCATCTTCTTCAGTTCTCTCCCTCGCCTATGCACCGACCTAACTCTCTCACATTTTTCCCATAACATCTTCCAATTAACGGTGTCTTCCAATTAAGAGAAAATAGAAGACGTCAGGTATGAGTTCCCCACGTCCTTTCTTCCCCTGGCTAATACCACACACTCAAAAATAAATGAAAAAACAAAAATAATGATGCTTCTAAAAGATAATATAAGAAAATACCTTGTTACCATGGAAAAGGAAAAGTACTAATCACAAAGGAAAGTCAATAAATTAGATTACATTAAAATTAGGAAGTCTGAGGCCCCATTAATTACTGACTTCCAGAAATGCAAAGAACTGCTACAAATCAGTAAGAAATAGAATAAAAGCTAACAAACTACCCAGGGACCAAACCTGGCTCACTGCCTGTTTTTGCAAATAAAATGTTATTGAAACCATACCCATGTATTTCCATATTGTCTTCAACTGCTTTTGTGCTAGAGTTGATTCATTGTAGCCTCTGGTCTACAATGTCTAAAATATTTACTATTTGGCCCTTTAAAGAAAAAGTTTGGGAGCCCCTGGATGAGACAATGCCCAGCTACTCAGGAAGCTGGGTCAGAAGGATCACTTGAACTCAGGAGATTGAGCAAGCTATGATTGTACCACTATAATCCCACTTCCTACATGTTTTGGATATTAGAAATAAAACTGATATGAACTTTCTTAAACATTTGGTTCAAGATAAGAAAATATCTTGTTACCATGGAAAAGAAAAAGATTCTTAAACAAGTCGCAGAAATACTTCTGTGGCATACTTGGGGAAGTATCTTCTTCACTTTTCTAGAGAAGGAGTCTTTTTCTGTCACCCAGGAATTCAAATCAAGCCTGAGCAACATAGCAAGGGCTTGTTGCTACTAAAAAAATAAAAAATAAATTAGCCAAACGTGGTGGCACACACCTGTAGTCTCAGACATTCAGGAGGCTGAGGCTGAAGGATTGCCTAAGCACAGAGGGTGGAGGCTGCAGTAAAGTGTGATCAGGCCACTTTGCTTCAGCCTGGGTGACAAAGTGAGACCCTGACTCAAAAAAAAAAAAAGATACAACTTTTATCTGGACAAAACAAGTGAGTTTTAAAGAAGAGGAAGAAAATATCCACAGGAAAATAATCATTATACCTTATACCATGTTATTGAATCCAAAACAAAACTCTTCGGGAAGTAAAGATGGCATATAAGAGTATCATCTTTTCCAACATGTAATATTTGTTTGTACTCATCTGATAAATTCGGTAGATCGTTTCTGGAACCATCATCACACCAACGTTTTTCAAAAACAGTTAGGTTTACATGTATTCTGTGACAGCTGTCTCTACCCCTGTAAGAAAGATTGAGATCTCATAAGCTTTTTTGAAAAATCACAAAAATCAAATGATTCAGCTCATCCTCAAATCTTTTCAAGTCATTTTCAAAGCACAGGGCAAACTCTCTGCCCCAAACAAAGCAATATGCATTCCTGGTATTTACATCACCAGCGAGGGACAAAGGGGCATGTGTGCCTCTGAATGCTCCTCAGAAGAGGACACAGCACTTACCTAACATTCCAACCCAAATGGCCCATCCTAAACCAGTCATGAAAGATACCTAACAAACCCCAATGAGGGGTGTAATATAAAATAACCGCCTTCTTAAAAATGTCATGTTATTGACTCCCTAAAAAATGTCAGAGTCATGAAAAGCAAAGACTGAAGAACTGTTCCAGATGAAAAAAGATTAAAGATTCTTGGCAACCAAATGCAAAGCCTGATCCTGAACTGATTCCTCTACTGGAAAGGAATGAAAAAAGTTGAAAGGGTCCTAAATGGGACCACTGATAAGGGGAGAAAATAGATAATAGATTAAAGTATTGCATAATGGTTAAGTGTCCTGAATTTGACAGCTCTACTGTGATTTTGTAAGAGATATATACACATTGAAAGGAAATAGAAGATATACATTGTTGATGGGAAATATACATTGAAATGTTAAGGGGTAAGGAAGTATGATGCATACATTTGAAGTGGTTTTTAAAAACTTTTAGGAAAAAACATTGTGGGCAACCTCCTTGAGTCCCCTCCCACTGTGGGAGCTTTTCTTTCCTCTCAATAA